TAAAAACATATTTTGTGATATTAATAATGCAAAGATACTGGACTTGCATTATAAATGTTTTATAAATAGTAGCCGTAAATGATATCTTACTGACTATACTGTATGTACAGAGGGTTCTGATGAATTGACAGAAAAATGCAACACAATGTGTAAAGCAGTCTTTTGTCTGGACACAATGTATTTATTCCATTCCCCACTGGTAACACAAATTAGTCAGTTTTCTTTTAATTTATTAGTCAAACTCAACACGCACAAGAATGTTTTTCATACAACTGGTAATTACTTCTGATAGTACTATGGCTACTATTATTATTTTTGTTTTATTATTTGGAGTAAAATAACTTTTCTTACAACAGTGGCCAGGTAGGCTCAAAATGTATGTTGAAAACTTTCTAAATTGTTCAGATGTTTCCAATAAAGGGTACAGTACAAATGCTACACTATAGAGTACAAAGACATGGACAACTTTTAAACAACTTCCAAACGTTTGGCAAACAGTTTGTGGAAGGTCCTTTCCTGTTCTAGCATGCCTGTCCCCCACTTCAAAAAAGCCTGATCCAAGGACATGGTTTGAGGAGTTTGGAACCTTGGGTGGCCTGCATAGGAACCCTAATCCTAACCCTTTTGAATGCCAATTGTAAGCCAGATCTTCTTCTCCAACATTGGTACCTGACCTTACAAATGCTCTGGAAGGGCAAGAATCCCAACAAACACACTCCCAAAACTTTGTGGAAAGCCTTAGCAGAAGAGTGGAGGCTAGTATAGCGGCAAAGGGAGACCGACTCTCCATTAATGCTCATGGTTTTGGAATAGGATGTCAAATAAACTCATAAGTGTGATGGTCACGTGTCCACAAACGTTTGACCATATACTGTAGCTATACAGAATCGTTATGTGTGTCATGCCATTTGTCATTAAACACATAGTTAAAAGAAAATGAATGACACTACCCAGCCCTATAAGGTAAGCACAACAGACTGTGGACCCCATATTGTTTCAATATTCTCTACTAGGATTACAAGACAGCTGGTTCTGATAAAAAAGCTTTACATATAAGCTTAGATTAAACAAGCATCTAACTACTTGTAGGTTGACATTTACCTTCAGCTCCAGGATGTTTAAGTACTGAGCCAGCCACCAAAGCAGTAGGTGGAGGACGGTTAAGTGTACCAGCTGCCTGGGCCTGTACCAAAGGAGGAATGGTAGAATAATACTCAGAGGGGACACAGGGGTTTGGACTAGGAGCAGTGGGGCTCATCATCCTCTTAATAGCCTGCTCTAAAGAAGGGAAAAAAATAGAAAACATATTGGGAATCACTAGCTGGCTGCTGAGAAGCAGTGGAAAAAATAGTTCACCCACAAGGACAGACAGAAGCCAGGACAAGAGGTATTCTATCTAAACACCCAACAAAGAAAACACATAGGTGTTTGTGGATCATGAGTACAGAAGGTGTGAACAATTTCCCCAGTAGATTGGCTCATTGTCTTTCATTGTTAATTCAAGAGGAACTCCGGTCAAAACTCAATATCAGTAATGTTTTATGGAAATTTACTGGTGGCTAGTTTCTGTTTTAGGATGTGCCATTTGCCAGAACAATTCAGCTACGCTCATACTGCTGCAGGCTTCAGAAAGACAGTGCCAGCGTTACTTTAGGCAGCATGCTGTCCTAGTTTGAAGGTTGCAAGCAATGTTCAGGTCAATGCATTAAAGGCAATGCATTTACTTAAATGTCCTTTTCAATAGACCCATACAGCTCCAGTACTGGGAAAGGTTGCACTCAGCAAGAGTGCCCAGCGTTCCCCATCAACACTCATGGGAATGTTGCCTACAAATTCCACAATGTCTTCCATCTAAAGAAACTTTAAGGTGATTATGAATGCTGCAACAACCAGATTTAATGCAAGGGTGGTTAACTGTGGCTTCTGATTACTACAAATTAACATTTATACTTTAAATTGTTTTTTACCCTTCAGTAAAGGTACTTTCATACCTTATATCACGTGCCCAGGATCCTGTGTTCTATAACTAAAACTTACAAAAGTGTTGTGACAAGAGCCTCCTTCAACAACCACAAGCAGAAAACTGCTGTAACCGGTAATATTCAAACCCAGTTTACGCTAAATGTCGTCTGCAATTTTTTGCTACTATGATTTTCAGTACAAAGCCAATTCCATCACAATTATTTTGCTGTATAATCAAATTGTAAGTTCTTATATTACACTGAATGTATTAATTAAGGTATTGACAAACGTAAAAGACAACTGTACTGTTGGAACAAGTTGTCCTTTAGTGAATGCCACCTCCCCCTTTACTGCAACCAACCTACTCTAAAAATCACCTTCCCACTTAGTCCAACAATCTTCACTTTGAATTATAAATAGTGTAATTCCTTGTGAGCTATTATGAATTGAGGCTGTCAGTAGGTGTTAAACAATTATCTTTATAACTAAATGTGATTGGTGCGCTGGCACTTACACAAACTCACTTTAATAGTGTAAAATCAACAAAATAATATCTTTATAGTGCTGCGCTCCTATCTGTGTATATATATAAATCAATTACCAATCTATACTCAATCTGATAAGTGAATAACTTAATAAATCAAATATAAATCCTTGTGATGGGTGACAAAACCTAGACTAATATAGCTAAGAAATTACCAATAATTATAAATGCATGCATCACATGTGGTGGATGATACTCAATAATTAATAAATATATAAACATATAAATATGAATAAGTGCCTCACTGAATATAAAGTGATCAATCAAAAATCATAATTGTGTAAAAAACCATATTTAAATGTGCAAGTGCATAATTCATGAATAAATAAAGTCTTTAAAAGTGCAAAAAGTGCAAGTGATTCCTTATTTCCAGGTGCCTTGTGGTCTCCCTATGCGCTCACCTTTGTATTGGCCTGAATGAATTCAGGCAAATAAACTTTTTGATCCTTCCAGGATCTATGGGTAAGTATTCATGTGTAAAATATTTCAAGGTATAGGTATAGGTGCTTCTGTTCTCTCCTCTTTCTCCTTATTCAGCTGCTCATGCACCGATAATAAGACCAGCTTTATCTCCTAATTCCCCTCCAGGGGTCACCTCCTTCTCATGTCCTCCTTCCACCAATGTGGAGTTTAAGGGTCAGATGTAGATAAAAAGAAAACACACCATAGTGTCTTATCCTTATGTAAAATTGGGATTTATTTTGCCTGTGGTAGTGATACACAGCAATATGCGATTCCTTGGTGGTCCAGGGCAACATAGATTTCACAGTATACAGTGAGTATTCCTCTGCCACTGTTCTCTCCTCCTTGCCTGCCTCTGTCTACGCTGGAAGCACCGAGCACCAACGCGTAGGGGAGGGGCTCTGACGTCACGACGTTCCTATCGGAGAGGCTCGGTGATTCCAGCGATTTTTGATTGCATACAAGGGAGAGGTGCAGCGCTAACTAAATGAATAAATATACTTATATACTTGATAAATATAAATATAAATCAGTAAAAAGTGCTATTAAAGTGCAAAACGGTGACTAAATGATGAATATAGTCCATATCGTGCTCAGAATCCAAGAGGGTCCTTTAAGAGCTCCAATCCCTGGATTCGTGGATGAGGTGATAAAAGTAAAAATTGCGCACTCACCAAATGCGCAATTCAAATGCGCATTCAAAGCTGATATTCCAAGGTCCTCATATGGATCTGGTCAGATCTGGTCATGGAAAGCCCTCTGCCACCTGGTAGTGTATTCCACACATAGAAGAAAAGGCCGCTCTGCAGATGTAAAGGACTCCCACCAGAGCCCAAAGAACAAAGGAGGCCAAATAGTGTGATACCTTATAGGCAAGGGGTATTTATTCCCAAAAAACACACAATATAGTATACAGGCAGAGGCAGGAAGGATACTGACCATGCAATGGATATGGATATGTAAGTAATGGATGGCCGCCGGGGCCCTCGTGGCGCCGGTCGGCGTGACGTCACACCGCTTGTAGCCGCTCCCTGACGCGTTTCGTGCGAAGGCACGTAGTCATAGGGGGTTAGCTTGATTGATCACTTTATATTCAGTGAGGCACTTATTCATATTTATATGTTTATATATTTATTAATTATTGAGTATCATCCACCACATGTGATGCATGCATTTATAATTATTGGTAATTTCTTAGCTATATTAGTCTAGGTTTTGTCACCCATCACAAGGATTTATATTTGATTTATTAAGTTATTCACTTATCAGATTGAGTATAGATTGGTAATTGATTTATATATACACAGATAGGAGCGCGGCACTATAAAGATATAATCTTCACTTTGAAGCTCTGCTGGGCAACCTAGAATTGTGCTTCTGAAAATGTCCTCTCCAAGTTCTCTTCAGCATGTGCATGTATGCCACAGCCCTATTCATCACTATGGGGAGCCGTACTCATGGCAGTCTCCTGTGGTCCTGTTGACTGTGGCTCTCCCCATAGGAATGAATGGAGCCACAGCCCACATGCACAGGTTGAAAAGGACCTGGAGGAAACATTTTCACAAGAAAGGCTTTGTGGCAGGGCATGTGATGAAAATTGCTGCATTAAGGAAAAAAGTAAGTATCAGACAAGATGGCTGCCTTCATTAAAGGACAACTTGTTCCAACGGTGCAGCTGCTCTTTACATAAACATCTAGTAGCAACTTAAAGATTCCCAGGGCTAACTGTACAATATAACACCCAATATATTTATAGTGCAGCCATCTACAATAGAACACCCAATATATTATAGTTCAGCCATATTATAGTTCAGCCATCTACACGGCATTGTTCAAATTATATCTGATGTGCTGGATTACTAAGTTAAAAAGCCAATGAGCCAATCAGTATGGGATAAGTTAGTGGAAAACCAACAGGAATATCAGAAGGCACACCAACTACTAGGCACTGCTAAACCACTAAAAAGTGTTAATGAGAAGCAGTCTCCTACAGGGAGAGTAGCGCAAGATACCAGTAAGTCATGCTTCTAACCTCTAGTGATGAAGCTATAGCAGATCACACAGACTCTTGCTTCTTTTTCCAAGTACTGCAGTTTACACTTCTGACTGCAACAGACAGAACAGAAAACCTAGAAAAATAAAACCGAAAATATATATATATAAAAAAAAAAAAAAAAACTTACTGTAAAAGATCACATATGATTATAGACTACAGATATAACAGACACTTTTGAATTGAATTTTCAGTTTAGATCAGCTAAATACATTCCAGGTGTATCAAAACAAAAAAAAAAAAAAAGGTGTGCAATGTCTTGCAGTTGTTTTTTACGTAGAAAGCAGCTACTGCCTGGGTTAAACAGCCTGTCCCCTTCCATGATGTTGTAGAGAAGGACCCATGCCCTCTGTGTGGGAGCAGCGGTCTCTTTGCAGAGGTCCAAAACATTCCTTGCGAAGCCAGATTTGCAGCTTGGAAAGCTATAGGTCTGACACAGCAGGGTGCATGGCAGACTTCTGTGGACAGAAGCTGCTTCCACAAGGCAAGCAAGGGTACATCTCTGCAGTATGCTGGAAGGGGAAAAGCAGTTCTACTCAGGATATGGCTGCTTTCTAAAGAAAAAGAACTGCAAGACTTTGCAACCCCTTTCTTTTGATGCATCTGTAATCTATTTATGTGATTTAGTCCTCATGCACACTGGACATTTTTACAGCGGCTGTTTTTGGCTTTTGGCATTTTTATTCTACAGCCAGTAAACTCCCCAGCCTGTATCCATGCACACATAGACTGTAAGCAGCCTTGTTTGGCAGGGGCTTTTTTTTGGCTGGAAAAAACCCCTCCAGGACTAGTGGGTTTCTAGAGGAGTTTTGTAGCTGTAAAAAACACTCTAACACTGAAAAATGCGGTAAACCAGTGTTATTGGGCATTTCTTAAGAAAAAAAAAATATTTTTTGGGGGGGTCAAAAACACTAAAAACCGCGAACGCGTAAAAACGCTGTTAAACGCTAATGCAAAAACGCTAAAAAATAAACGTTTCTAACGTGACTTTACACAGCTAACGTTACCAGCGTTATTAAAAACGCCCGGTGTGCATGGAGCCTTAAACTGAAAGTCCTTTTGGACTGTAAAGCACATTTTGCAGTTTAGATTTTCATTTTGAACATCATGGGAAATGTTTACAAACCTTAACAGGTTTTTATTGCCAAATCTGCAATTATTGAGAGATTTTCGAGTGGTTACAGAGACAGGAAATAATCAAAAGCTTTTAACTGGGGCACAGTGAGTTATACAATATATTTCTAAAGTAGGATGAGGAAAAAGTGTGTACCTGTCAGGTTTTAGGTGCCATCTCTATTAACTCTAGGGAGCTCTTCAGTTTCTAAAATCTTCCCTTTAGAACTACTGGTTCCTGGATGTTATGCCAATCCAATAATCAGAAACAGGTGTGCGAATCAGGAAAATTGAGGGCCAGTTTACAGCAGAATGCAGTGCGAGAATGGCATGTCCTGTGCACATTTTCTGCATGCACCGCGCCTTTGCGATCTGCTGCATGTGCCAATGTAATGTTAACAACACCTCAAACACAATGCATTTGCAGGCACCAGATCACAAGGCACCGCAGTACTATGCGATATTAGTGCAGTGCGTTTTGTTTTTTTTTTAAAGTAGTGTATACATTACCTTCCCTGCATTCCAGTGCAATTTCAGCCCATTCAATTGAATGGACTGCAAAAATCATACACCACCAAAACACACAGATCCCGATGCAAACTGGCCTTGAAGCCAAAACATTAGCATGACAGCCAAGCAGCTAGAACTTTTAGAATGGTGAGTTGGCAACTGCAGCCTTTCTGTATCTCTCAGGAAAGGTTTCTATTAGATGACCAGGGTACATAATCCTTAGTGAAAATATAAAGAAAGTGCCAACAGAAATTTGAATTGTAAACAGCGGCCCTTGAATTTACCCAGTGCCAATCGAACTTTCAGTACAAATAAGCTAAATATATTTAAATTCCATCAAAACCAAAAAGTCATCTAAATTTTTTCTTTTAAAATTGGCCATAGCCCAAGTAAAAAAGCCCGTTCCCTCCCTCAATGCTGCCGAGAAGTACCCATGCTCTCTGTGGGGAAGTAGAGGTATCTCTGCAGTGGTTTGGTGCTTGCAAAGCTATAGGTCTAGCGCAGGCCAGACCACTGCTTCCCCACAGGGAGCAGGGGTCCCAATCTGCAGCTGCTGGCAGGAAGCAGGCTTTTTTACTCAGGTTGTGACTGCTTTAGTAATAAAATTAGTTGTAAGACATTGAACACCTTTTCTTGTGATGCACTTTAAATCAGCTAAACACATTCTGAGTGCGAATTCAATTGGGCTTCATGGCCTGTTCACACCAGAACACAATGCGGGAAAGACATATCCAGTGTGCATTTTCTACACCACGTTTAAAATCCACTACCTTTGTGATCTGCTGGGGGTGCCAGTACATTGTTAATGACACCCTAAGCACAAAATCGCAAATGCAGTGAGTTTGTGGGAACCAGATGGCATGGTGCCACAGTACCATGTAGTTTGGGGTGGCGCATAATTGTTTTTGCGATCCAGTGAATTATTGGGCTGAAAATTCCACAGCAGGGGAATGCACAAGGATCACATACCACATTTCTGTGCAAATCTGGTGTGAACTGCCAATTAAAACCAAACTCCGAGAGAGAAGAAAAAAAAAAAAAAACACCTTGTAGTGGGGCCACCAGCACGGCGACTGATCCCCCTCAATTGCCTCTGTAAGCTAAGAACGCACACAGTCACACTCCACTTTCCTAAAATCACAACACAGGACCTGTATTGTACATGAAGACACCAAGGCATTGCCAACAGGCCGGAGCTTCAGGCAAAGGAGGAGAGCTCTGCAGCTGGCTGTAAATGGGAGTCAGATAATTAGAAAAACAGACAGCACTGTACCCCCCCTCCCCCAAACTTAAAGTGGTTTTAAAGGCAGAAGGGTTTTCACCCTAATGCATTCTATGCATTAAGGTAAAAAACCTTCTGTGACCAGCTCCACCTCTATGCTTACTTGAGGCCGATCTTGATCCAGCGCTGTGCCCATAAGCAGCAGCGCTGCTCTCTCTCTCCCTCCTCACAGAACTCAGATGCAGCAGCAGAGGCCATTGACTCCTGATGCTGTCAATCACAATCTGTGAGAGAGTGTAGGGCGGGCCAAGCACTGTGTCTCTCAATATATGAACAGAGTGCAGCTCGAGATCAAGCCCACACAAGTCCCTCTATAGCAAGCAGCTTGCTATATGGGCATTAGAAGTCAGAAGGAGCCAGGAGTACCGGTGGAGGACTCGAAAAGAGGAGGATCTAGGCTGCTCTGTGCAAAACTACAGAGCAGGTAAGTAGAACATGTTTGTGATTTAAAGAAAAATTTGAATGTTTACAATCTCTTTAAGCACTTAACCATTGCAGTGTGGAAGGGCCCATTGCAAGAATGATTTCTTTTTTATATTCCCAGAGTGGGCGTTCAGGAACATTCTTTGATCATTTTTAAAGCTGGTTTAGCTAATAACAAATATCAGTAAATCAAAGACAAAAACACCCAAATAAGTGGTCAGGCTTGACCCAATTATCTGGCATATGAACCTTTTAAACTGCATGCTGCAAAACTCTTCTAGTACAGAAGAAAAAAATTTAATAAGAGGTGAGCTGGAAACAATTACTTTCTTGGTAAGGAGACTTTAAGCTGAGCCCCAAGCAAAGGGCTAAATGTGTAATTGAAATAAATTTACATACATACATATATTTGCTCCTTCCTGATTTTTTTCATATTTGTCACACTTAAATGATTCACATCATCAAACAAACTTTAATATTACACAAAGATAACCTGAATAAATACAAGAGTCAGTTTTTAAAACGATGATTTCATTTATAAAAAAAAAACCTGACCAAACATGCTTGGCCCTATGTGAAAAAGTAATTGCCCCTAAACCTAATAACTGGTTGTGCCACCTTTGGTGGCAAAAACTGCAGTCAAGCATTTGCAATAAATGGCTATGAGTCTTTCACATCATTGCGGAGGAATTTTGGCCCACTCTTCTTTGCAGAATTGCTTTAATTCAGCCACACTGCAGGGTTTTCGAGCAGTGAACGGCCTTGTTTAAGGTCATGCCACAGCATCTCAAACAGATTTAAGTCCTGACTTTGACTAGGCAACTCCAAAACCTTAATTTTTTTTTTTTCCAAACCATCCAGAGGTAGACATGGAGTGTTTCGGATCACTGTCCTGCTGCATAACCCAAGTGTGCTTGAGGTCACGAACTGATGGCCAGACATTCTCTTTCAGGAGTTTCTAGTAGAGGGCAGAATTCATGGCTCCATCAATTATGGCAAGTTGTCCAGGTCCTGAAGCTGCAAAGCAGCCCAAGACCATCACACTACTACTACCATGTTTGACTGTTGGTATGATTTGTTTATGAAATGCTGTGCTAGTTTTACGCCAGATGTAACGGGGTGCAAACATTCCAAAAAGTTAAACTTTTGTCTCATCAGTCCACAGAATATTTGTCCAAAAGTCTTGCGGATAACCAAGATGTTTTTTGGCAAACGTGAGACGAACCTTTGTGTTCTTTATGGTCAGCAGTGTCTCTTTTGCCTTGGAACTCTCCCATGGATGCCATTTTTGCCCATATTGTTGAATCATGAACACAGACCTTAACTGAGGCAAGTGAGGCCTTCAGTTCTTTAGTTGTTGTTCTGTGTTCTTTTATGGCCTCCTGGATGAGTCGCCGTTGTGCTGTTGGATTAATTTTGGTAGGTTGGCCAATCCTGAGAAGGTTCACCACCGTTCCAAGTTTTCTCCATTTGTGGATAATGGTTCTCACCAGACCTAAAGCCTTACAAAATTACTGTGTAACCTTTCCAGACTGATAAATGTCAATTACTTTGTTTCTCACTGGTTCTTCCATTTCTTTAGATCAAGGCTTGATGTATTGCTTTTTGAGATCTTTAAGCGTGCTTCACTTTGTCAGGCAGCTTCTATTTAGGTGATTTCGTGATTCAACAGGTCTGGCAGTAATCAGGCCTGAGCGTGGCAAGTAAAATTTAAAATGGAACTTCACCCAAAAAGTGGAAATTCCACTCGTTTGCATCCCCGTCCCTCTTTGTCACATTTGGAACTTTTTTTTGGGGGGTTGGAGGGTACTTTGTTTTGCCAAGTACCTGCTCCCACTTCCAGGTAAGATCGACCCCTCCTCCTCTCCCCTACAACCTTCTGAGACACACACAGGTTCCAGAAGACAACAAGACCAATCACAAAGCGCAGCATGGCTAGTAGGTAGGCTTCACTGCCGGTTTCCCTTACCCAAGATGCTGGCTCCTGCACCTAAAGCTGATTGAAGAATTGGCTCAGGTGAGGACAGCGCTGGATCCCTGGACAAGTAATTGTCCTTATATTAAAACTCAGCAGCTGCAGTAATTGTAGCACCACTTTAACTCAGCTTAACAAATAATATGATTAATCACAGTTCATTCATGATTTAGCAATGAAAGAGGGGGAAGGAGACATTCCGGCCAACAGTTCATGACCTCAAGCTCAGGCGCATTGGGGTTATGCAGCAGGACAATGATTCGAAACACACCAGCAACTCCACTTTTGAATGGATCAAAAAAATAAAATTAAGGTTTTGGAGTGACCTATTCAAAGTCCAGACTTAAATCCGATTGAGATGCTGTGGCATGACCTTAAGCAGGCTCTGCATGCTCAAAAACCCTCCAATGTGGCAGAATTAAAACAATTCTGCAAAGAACAGTGGGCCAAAATTCCTCCACAGCACATTGAAAGACTCATTGCCAGTTGTCGCAAACACTTGACTATCTGTTGCCACCAAGGGTGGCACAATCAGTTATTAGGTTTAAGGGACAACTACTTTTCCACATAGGACTATGTAGGTCTGGACAGCTTTTTTTTCTTAATAAATAAAATCATCATTTAAAAATGGCATTATTTATTTAATCAGGTTATCTCTGTCTAATATTAAAATTTGTTGATGATCTGAATCATTTAAGTGTGACAAAAAATAAAACCCCCCCTGTTGCTTCCACTTTGTTATACCACCACTAACAGTGCCCCAATACTTTTGACAATATTATATATACACACACACACGTACATATATACACACACACACATACATATATACACACACACGTACATATATACACACACATACATATATACACATACATATATACACACACACAATTTGCTAAAATGACAACTTTTTGTTAAAGCTACAAAGTTTAGGCACAAAAATACGCATTTAAATATACTTCTCAATAGCCACAAAGAATATAAATTCACTTTGTGTGCACTAAATGACTTTGCAAACCAAGATATTACCTTGTAAAAAAGTGTGCAGAGCACAACACTGTGGAAGGACATAGCTGACCTACCCACTACAAGCTGCCTGCAGAAAACTAGAAAAAGAGGTGGACACAAAAGCAGTCACCCTGCACAACCTACACAAGGATAGAGAGCACCTTTGTCTGGTGATATTACAGAAAGTTCTTGGAAAATACACAAAGCACGCCAATTTTCAAGTAAGAATACATGTGCCTCTTGTATTTAGACAATATTTGATTATCCCAAAGTTCAGCTTTAACCCTGTTAAAGTGTAAGTTCACCTTCAGCAAGATTTCCCTAAAATTCCTCCAAGCAATTCAAAATCTGACTAGAACATGCCAGTGCCCCATCTAATTTAAATGGTGCATGTCCTCCAATTACACATGCAGCTGTTAGGGGGTCGCTCCACAAAAACAGCTGGTGGCCCTCTCCATTCCCTTCTTTGGCATTAGCAGGATAAGATGGACATTTAAATTGCATGCCCCCTAGTATCCACTCCGAGCTATTCAAACATTACAAGTTCGCTCTCCTCTGTCCCAGCTGAGCTCAGTAGTGGCCGCTCCGGAGCATTAAAACTGCATGTATACGCAGTGCACTCTCTCCTTTTTTAAATGAGCTACAGACTGACACTGATTGACCTATAACAGAGTGTCTGAACAAGGATCTTCATGGAAGGATAAGCAAGTATTTTTTATGACAGCTGTAAATTTAAAAAATAGTAAAATTTTCTTTTGAAATGTGATTATAAAAGATTTAAGGAATTAGATATACTCTAACTGATCCCACACAAATTTCTTTCCACAGATTTTCCTTCAATCATATATTTCTTTTTTGCACCTATTTTGCCCAGAGTAGTAATAATAGTAATAATAATGTAATAATAGAAGTAAAAATGATGTTACTGAGCTGACATTATCTCCATGTACCTTTGAGACTGCATTGTACAATCATCTTACCTTTCCACAAGCTCTACAGTGATGTCTCCGCTTTGTAAAAGTGAACTTAATGCTGCAATTCATGCAGTTTGGAGCCTCAGAGTCAGGGATCCAAGTTGGTTGTCTCTGGCCAAGTGCCTGATTTTCTCCTGTCCCATCTTCAGGTTTCCCTAGTGCCTCCACACTGAATTCAGGGCTCTCATCAGACTCCACATTCATAGTTTTTTTCAGAATGCTGCTGCTAGGAATTGGTGATACAAGAGAAGGCGAGCTGCATGGACTGGCTTCTTCAGCTGTCTGTTCAGCCAGATTTCCTTCTACGTCCTTGTTGTGTACTTTACCTGGCCAGGTTATAGCCAGTGCATTTGGTGGATGATGAAACAACTGCTTGGGCCTTGCACCTCCGATGGGTGAGGGCACACTAGCACCTGGAAGAGCTCCTTGATCCTGAGCTGGATGTTGTGAAACAACTTTGTTAGGTGTGGCATCCACAGTGCTGCAAACTGTACTGTTCTCAGCCTCATCTTGACCTGTCTTCAAAAACTGCAATCCGTCATTCAAAGCTTCAGTGCAAGACCCGCTTGAAACTGCTTCAGCAGAATCACAGGCTGGAATACGTCCTACAGCACTTTCTTTACTTAGAGGTAAACCTTCTTCGCTAAGAAAAGCATCAAGTTCAGCATCTGTTATATATGTGTCACCTAACAAGAGGTCTTTAGGATCAGTTAGCAAATTGTGACTCATGAAATTTGATAATACCGCGTCTCCAAACTCACTGCTGTGAACAGGATCAGGGCCTGGCTCAGGTGCAATGCTTGATTTCTCTACTACAGGTAATTTAGGTTGCTGGGTCAAAATGTCCTTCTGTACGAAACCTTCATCCGGTACAGAAGGCCCTTGGGCTACAGATGACAGATGTGCCAGCTGCAAGGATTTATCTCCACCTTTTACCTCAAAGTTGGCTGCTGATACAGTCATGGATTCATCTTCAAAATTTTGGCTTTCTGACATTCTATCCTTGTGTTCATGAAGCAGCTCATTGCTGCTTTCTGTCCTACAGTCTACCATAACAGAGCTAAATGAGTCTACGGGCTTTTCTCTGCAGATGGACACAGCTGACATGTCATCATTGCACTTTGAGGTCACCATACTTTTAGCAGTAGATGGCCTTGAAGGTGAGCTTTCATTTTGAACGTCATCTAAAGCACCAGAATTTACAACACATTTAGTTGTTGACATTGTGACTTCCTGGCTTGCTGCTTGCAAAAAGTCCATGTTGTTTAGAGCATACACCACATCTACATTGTGCTCTTTTGACACAGTACCAATCTGATCTTCTGCTAATGCCTCATAGGACATATCATCACTTACATATCCATCTGTGCTTGAAGAACTTGAGCTGGTACTGGAGTCACTAGTGGATGCAGTATCAGAGTGTTCTCCTACCTCACCCACGATTGGGGTAAGACCTGAGTGAACAGGAAGAGTAGCACTGCTTGCTTTAGCACTTATATCAATAAGATTAGCTTCACTCAATGGTAACCAGTTTGAAGTGATAGGGACAAGATCGCCAACATCTGCTTCTTCATTTTGTAATAGACTAGAGGAATTTGAAGGTGGAATAGCAAAAAAACTTGGGTCAGAAAGCAACTCGAGGTCAGAAACAACATTCACACTAGACTGGGCAGAATCTGGAATCAGTGACTCACTGCTACTTGCTGCATGAAGTAAACTTCCTGTGTCACTAATGAGATCACATATAGGAACACTACTTCTCCCGGTATTTGACTCATCCTCCATGGATGTTCCTCCATCCACACAGGACAAGAGATCTGGGCCTGTCACATTTTTGTCACTACATGTGACAGGATCCCCTGGTTTTAAATCCAGCTTAGTTTCCTCTGGGCATTCGGAAAGAGAGAGTTGAGGACTGCTTCCACCCTGCTCCTTCCCGGGACTTGGGTAATCTGGTTGGAGGTAGAAATCATCATGCTGTTCTGGGTTAAAAGGTTCTGCATGTGGCTGGTAGCTTTCCAGTTCATCTGTGGGAAAATAAAAATGTATTAAATCTCTCTTTGAAGAATTTACCATAATTTTCTAAAATCCTACACCAATAGGCTTGAAACATAGGAACCTGTAGATTTGTAGAGTATGCATTCAAGGGAAATTCCTTATTAGAGGTCAGGTATGGTTTTCTTAACCCAAGCAACATGTCAACCTTCCCTTACTGCCTGAGAAAAACAATAAAAGCTAAAAAATAATTAAGTGCAAACAGTGTGCTCATCTTATGCATCTCTTTTAAATACTCCAGCAAAGAAAAGGTTATTTTTTAAGTTCAGATGGTAATTACCAGCTAAATACATGGTGGAAACTTGTGTAATGTGTTATTACTTTACTTGCCAAAGGATCTGTAACTTAGCCAGCCAGTCTGACACACACACACCTTTTCTAGTCACTCTAATCATATCACTAAGCGACCCTGTCTTTACAGTACATATTGTGGACTGAACACAAGCAGTAAAAGTAGGCATTTAGCACTTACTGTAGTCCACTATATTATACTAGGATTTTTTTTTTCTTCTCTGATGAATGCTGGCTAGATTGTTTACAATTGAAATGTAAAGGGCTGGAACAGGGTAGATGGAAGCGTTACTTCCCATTCACAACCATAGGAAAGCCAAGCTGAGTGGGGATGGGGATGAAGAAACAAAGGCAGCTTAGAACTGAAAAAAAAAACTTAAAAAACAGAGGGCTACAGTAAGTTCTAAATACCTACTTTTACTGCATGAGTTCAGCCAACAATGTGTAATGTGGGGAAAAGCTCTCTTTAATATCAATATTTCCTGAGCCAGCTTGCCGTTCAATGGACAGGGAGCATGCTGGTTCACTGTCCAATCAGGAAGCTTAGAGGTAACATAGGAAGTTGAGTCAGTAAGATTAATTGCTTAATGGCTAAGTTCACCTTTTGGGAAAAAATAAATAAATGCACATATTTTTGCAGGAAAAAAAAAGTGCATTTATTATTCTTTCCCTCAGGGACCTGCAAAGCATTGGATCCGTAATTAGTGGATCAGAGGTGCAATTTGAGGTTCCTGTAGACAAACCCTGCAGCTTTCAGCCCATACTTCCGATACAGGCTGACTGTTTACAAGCTGCAGGACTTATGAATGAACTATGATAATGACCATCAGCGCCCTCGCAGTTCATTGAGAACTACAAGCCATCAGTATTTGTGGTTCTCTCATTCACAGAACTCTGAATGAATGATGCAACTGTGTGGGGGGAGCACTGCACAGCCACATTATTTTCAAAATGTGACAACAGGTGTGGAGAGGATCCCCTGTTCGCTGCCACAAGGACAGAGGGGATAGGGGTTGCCAGTCTGGAGCAGGTTACAACCGAGTTACAGGCGTAACATGCTATGAACTTATCCTCTAATCAGGAGCTACATGTGTCACCTGTCTGGGTCTGCAGTGTGCGAAATAAGTGTACGTTTTAAGACTGGTTGTACAGAATTACAAATTCTTTGGAAAGTAACACCCCTAACATACAGTATGTATATCAGCTGTGAACGGTTTGTTGGGATCAGTAATTACATGAATTCATTTAAATAAACAACCAATTCCCACATGCAGTTCAAATGAACTGTGACTCCTTTTAATTAGATGAAGAAACATAGGGGTTGATTTACTAAAACTGGAGCGTGCAAGATCTGGTGCAACACTGCATAGAAACCAATCAGCTTCCAAGTTTTTTTTATGTCAAAGCTTAAATAAACAAGCTGAAGTTAGAAGCTGATTGGCTACCATACACAGCTGTGCCAGATTTTGCACTCTCCAGTTTTAACAAACCAACCCCAAAGTTAACTGTAATATTTCTGAGAAACCATTACTAGACAAAAAAGGAGCAAAAGTGGAAGGTTCATCCAAAACATGAGTTTTTGATATCTGAGTCACATTTAAAGCTTTTTCCCCAAAACACTTGAAATGTACCGAAGCATTATCTTAAAGCAACACTGTCACCAAGATTAAAAAAAAAAAAAATTAAAAAAAAAAACTGAAATAGTGATTTTTCTATACAGGGCTGCTCTGATACTTACCTGGAATGATGGAGTACCTGACAGGAGGAACCACAGTGCCCAGCAAGGGACATGCTTTCTCGCACATCTGGAGGTGTCAAATAGCAGTGGTACTCAGAACTCCTCATAAAAGCCAAAAATTAGCACACCACCTGCCAGACAGGTATTTTTTTCACAGGGTGGTTATAATACTAACCTGTAGAGTGGGTAGTGTCTTCTATTTGCTCACTTCAGCTAACTTAACCAATCCCATCCCCCCTTTCCCAGAGATGCAGTAGAGCCCCAGAGAAGTCTATGCAGCACATCTTTCTGTATCTCCTAGCCAGAGACAGGGGTAGATGGGCCCCAAAAAATCCCATGGGGCTCTAC